GGAAGTGTTTGTGAGTAACTGTCTTCCCATAAGTATACGTTTCTATTTAGGTGGGGTTTGTTAGGTTACTGACACTGACTTGACTTTTTACAGCACACACTGTAATTATGCCATTTCTAGTATACATGAAATAATTACGCGCTTCTGATTGGCTAAAAACTAGTGCATTTTTCATGTAACACGAATGCAAACTTGCAACACGAGTGCAAATTACAAATAGTGCGCTGTCAAAATTTCGTCTGTTTTGACCTTCTGTGATGCTTTAACGTGTAAATTATTAATATATAATAACGTGACTTCTATTGGAATTTGGTGTAAATAAGCACTTGAAAATTCAAATTGCACTCACCCTACGCAACTTTGTTATCTTAAAAAAATATTTCTCGTGCTCACCAACAACATATTGCACTCGAAACTTTCAAAAAATTTTCTTATCGGGCCTTATTATGAAGAAAAGTTTTCCCCATGATAAATTTAAAATTTCTGCGGTAAAGTGGATTGCCATCTAATAATTTCCCTTTCCGTGCCACAACGGTGGTAGCTGTGTGACAACCTATCAAGATAACACTTTTGAAGGTGTCTGTAAAAAAAGGCTTGATATGTGAATATTGCGAGACAGGGAGACTCAAATCGTCCGCTGATACATTAGAAAACAAAACTTGTCAACGGCACCGATGTCAAAGAAAATCTCAATGAAATTAACTTTTTTCTTAACTTTTTTCACAATTTTTATGGAATGCGTATTTGTGAAATTTCGTCTTTGGCAATTTTTCCCTGATCAAGGCTTTTAAATGCAGCCTGCAGCACAACGATTGAGGCTTCTTACGACCGTATAACGTGGTTCCAAATTTTCGCCAATCTTCAAAGGACCCGATGTCGTGCCTCAGAGGTTTCCAAATTTTGGAAAAACAAACAATCTTGTTTCCTTAACCGCTAAGTTGTCATGTTATGCAAGAAATCTCTGGATAAAATTTCTTTGGGAAAAAAAATACTTTAGTCTGTTTGTCTTTGGCGTGCGATGGCAGGATTTTCTTCTTTCATCTGACCCTTTTTCTTTTGAGGGAAACGAATCTGAGCTCCACTTTTACTAAATGCCTGTGATTCGTACCCTGGGTACGGTTATACTGGCAGCAATCTTTCTCAAGTTTGCAAATTGAAGGTCGCACTTATTTTACTCTGCTTGCTGACAGATTTTTTAATTTAAACAAACAAAACAGCTCCAAAGTTAGGACAGTATCCTTAAGTGACACTTACCAACTGTACCAAGCTATTGGATTAGAACACGAGCGGCCCAGTATCATATAAATTACCTCACGTATGAAAGGTGACACAAGGAAAATCCTTTATTACAAGCAGAACTCAAAACTCACTTCACTTAACAAAGTCAAACTCACTCCCAGCGGATGACCGCCGATCGTTCGCTCGCACGCAGAAGCCATTATGTCCACAATTTTCCACTTGCTCTTCCTAACATCTCTTGCAGCCAAATATTTTTCAGGTTAGATTGTCTTCATTCCCTTTATGATGTTCTAGTTTTTTTCCGGCAATTTTGGCTAAACCTTTTGAGTTATTAGCTTCAGAATTAACCAAGAAAACCAGACATTTTATAAGTTGGGGCACAAGTCCAGAGGGTAAACGTGTTTCTTAAGCAAATTTAATGAATTTTTTTATGATTATTATCTTCGTCTTGCCGAGACTGGCAGGAAGAAGAAAAGGAGCTGAAAGGTAAAAGGAACGAAGAGATGGCCTAAAAAAATATTTTAATAAGTGGATAAATTATGAGATGGAGACAGCACAATTGTGTTGCTTTTAAAGTTCAAATGAGCCGAAGTGATCCCTACTCGTGATCTCTACTACATCCGGCGCACTTGAGTAAAAGGAACTAAAGTGTTTTAACAACCTTATCGAGACTTTGTATCCCTTTTAATGCTGAATTGGTGTGGGCAGCTAAAGTGGAAAAAAGGGAAATTAATGCTTTTTTTTAATTTGGCTGAAAAACTGTCAAATCTGCCATTAAGTCACAATAAACTAAAAGCCTTTTTTTTTATATTCGACGTGTCTGAAATTGCTGTAAGTCACAAAGAAAGGTTCTGTCGATTTGTCGTATTTATCTGAGTTTTTGTCGTAGCACATTGTTAAAACGTTTCAAAGTCTTCAAAGAGTTTCCTGATAAAAATAAACAATGGCTTCTTGGCCGTTATGCGAATCGGCTTAATGAGCTATAAATGATAATCTATCAACTTGAAGTTGTATCAATTATTTGCTTTAAGTTTTATTTTTTTTTTGTTTTGTTAGCTTTTTTGAAAATAGAGATGATTTAAGATATTTCATCATCACCTTTGATGAAGAATGTGTCTCGAACTTATTTAAAACTTAGAGCTCCAGTTTTCATAAAATTATACATACAAATATCTATTGGGGCAGTGGAAATACGTTTATATTAGGAAGTAAGATGTTTAATTTTTTTTTAGCCCAATTTCAAATCGAGCTTTGAGAATCGACACAATTATATAAATAAGTCATCTTTTGAAAGGAGTCGAGACCCGAATTTTTTCTCAGGCTTCTTTTTAGCAATTTCTTTCATCACATGCAGCTCAACTTAGCGGACCATATCTTCACTTTTATATCATAAAATAGGTTGTGGTTTGTCATCGTGGTAAATAATAATGTCAAAAAAGAATTGTAATCGTTTGCCTCACGATGTGGTCGATTCGGATGTGGAGTTTTATTTATTTGAGAATCAGAAAACGATTGCATCGGAGATTGGTGCCTTTTCTGTCTCCGTTCTCGGAGACAGAAAAGGGCAGAGCGTTACAATCGAAACATTCGTCAAATGTCAAATGCAGCAAGAAGCCTTACTCCACCAGGGAGAGACATGTAGAGAGTTCTTGTCTTAGTTTAAGCATTGTAATAGCAATTTAATTAAAATCCATTTTATTCTCCTCAATCCAGGAATGAAAAGCGCTGAACAAGATTGGGGCCCTTCTGACCAGGCAGCTCAACAAAGCTATTTTCTTAAAGAGGAGTTCCACTATCTGGACGTTACTCAGATCAGAAAGTTCACGATATTTGACATGTTTCATTGCCCTCTGGCGTGCCTTCGAAATAATTTATGCCTCTCTTTAAACGTGGCCTCTTCTCGTGGAACAGAAGGAAAGTTTTGGTGCGAATTACTGTCCTCCGATAAGAACAGAAACGCTGAGAACTACCACAAAAACACGAGTTCGCACCATTTTTCCATTCTGCGGGTAAGAACACTTTAATCATTGTGTTAAACTCTAGCACAAGGCATTTGCAAGAGAAAGTATTTAAACGTACTGTTCTCGACAAGGTATGCTTATTCACAGCTATCGTCACTACTGTTCAAGTATTCACAGCGTTGTCTTAACAGTCATTTCCTCTCTTTCAGTCTCCATGTTCTTCATCGCCGTGTCAAAACGGAGGAACCTGCATCCCGAATTTTAACTCCAACACTTTTGATTGTCTTTGTAAAGAAAGTTTCTTGGGAGAACTTTGCGAGAAAGGTAATTCATGAATATTTTTTAAATATCTTACTGTCTCTCTCTTCCATACTTTTTTTAACAGTAGAATACATCTGGCTCTGACATCACACTCTATCTTTCAGCTGTAAAATCATGCAAGGAAGTGTACGAAGTAAACAAGTAAGAGGCTTTCACTGTTTGGTCATTTGAACAGATCTTTTCTAAAATCCTATTTTCTGTCACACTGGAGACGCAGAGGTGGCCAGCTGGTTAAAACCACGTTGGATCTTAAGAACGGAGCTCAGAGACGTGTCAGTCAGGAAGTTTAATAAGTATAAATGATAAAGATTGGCATCATAAGAGAGTCAATTACTTATGTATCTACTCCTCTTGTATATCAACAGATCAAACGTGAGTAAACTGGTTTCTCTTCATCTGGGCTCACAGCCAACGACAGTTCTTTGTCACATGGGAGATTTTGGATGCGGAGATGGAGGATGGACGCCAGTCATGAAGATTAACGGCAACAAGGTACCATGTGGTATCGATCCTATATCGATTAAGTATCATGATCTTTCACAAGGAGGTATTCATCGACAACGTAAACGATTGGGTCGTAGGATTTTTGGGGGATGAGTTGTTACTAACGGAGTATAAGGGGGTGGAGACTATATAAATTTAACTTCCAATGAGAGGGGATTATTATAATACAAAAGAACCCAAGAGAGGGGGGGTAAATATATGATTGTGACACGAAAAAAATCCTCCAGTCCCTCCCTGGTGATAAATAATGACCGCTACCTAAATTGGCTCCAATTAACTCTGCATGAATATTGATGATGAAATAATGCCAAACGTTATTTCACCAAGTCATACATATTTCATGATCATTCGCTTCCCTTTATTGCAAAGTAAATCCTAGCGAAAACAAACAGCTAATTTGGGAAGAGAAATTTATGATCGTCACAAACTGTCTTAAAACAAGCCGGATAATACGACGGATAAATAAAAAACCGGTAATAAATTTTAATCATATTATAAACTATTCTCCCAGAGTACCTTTCACTATGATTCTGGTTACTGGAGTAATAAAATTGAATACAACACTGCTGGAGGGGAGACTGGATTCGACTCACAAGAGACCAAGCTGCCTACTTACTGGGACACATCCTTCTCCAAGATCTGCCTCGGTATGAAGATCGGTGGACAGATCAGATTCACTGTAATCAATATGAAGGCCAGCTCTTTTTACTCATTAATCGCTGACGAGAAATACCGAAACACCTCATTGGGTCGTGACACGTGGAAGAAGCTTATTGGCTCAGAGGCCTCGTTGCAGCGTTACTGTAACACAGAAGGGTTCAATGTTATCTGTGGTGGGTCTGATTTCTCCAAAGCAAGAATCGGCACCGCTACTAACAACCAGGATAACTGCCTCTCTTGCGACTCCAGGATTGGATTTGGTACAGGAGGACAATATGATCCCTATAACACCTGTGGAAACGAGGCTACTCGTGAACCGGATAATGGCGATAAACACATTAAAGCCATGGGTTACATTTTGGTTTATTGAAACCAAAAGAAAAACACGGAAAGCTCATTCAAATGTTAAGATTAGATTCAGAACGATCCAGTAAGAAGATTTGCTTCGGTTTTCTCATTTACTTGTCATCGTGTACTCTTTTTTTTGCTCTTCGGTATTTTGTTAATTACGCTCCTTTGTTACGTGCTGTATGTAAATTTAGTTATATCGTTTCTTGTCTCGCCCCTTTCTTGTGTAGAAGTCTATCATGAAATTTTTCACCATCTGTTTATCTTGTAAGGATATCTGCATGACACGACTTCCGTCCTTATTGAATTTTACATAAGCATATGCCACACAGCATAATGCACAGCAGCTTATAGGTAACGCGTACTCAATCAACCTCATGGCTAAAAGAAGACTAACAGTATGCAGTCGAACGTCGCCATTCACATCCAAAGTGACCACATCGTGAGACAAACCCTAATATTAGTCTCTTATAATGAAAAGGTTATTTACTACGATGAAAAACCCCAATCTTTTTTACCATAAAGAACTTATAGTTGTGCTTTATAGAACTGATGAATGTAGGCTCTGACAACCGTATACGGTGGGCAAATGGTATTACTATCAAGACGACTTAATCAATCTTGAGATCGACCCATTTCCGGCACGGTTACAATCTGGATACGACAGGTTCTCTGATATATTAACGGATTAATTTTCTTGGCCAATTTTTTTTTTTTTTTCCTTTTGTCTAAGGGATCCCTCACCCCATTGAGACTCTCATATCTAAGGTCGCTGATTATCTGATGTATTAAAAGAACTCGTCTGTAGAGAACTGACTGGAAAAAAAAACAACAACAACACCCAATTATGCGATCTGGAATGCCAATGGAATGTTTTCAGTTCACGCCCTGCCAAACGCAAAAAATGATGCACTCGCCTGCACAGTCGTTTAAATGGAAAATCTCTTTTACGATCCGCGAATTTGAATAATGAATGTACATGTTAAATCGTGGGATTGAAAGCACCTTACTCAGAGGAGATTTTGATAAAATTACGGGTTAGTTGTCAGCACAAAGGAAGCAATTACACACCATTTTTCATCTCCGGTTATCTCTTGATATCCTCATTAAAACTTCCTTGAGTGGCCTTTTGCAACTGACATCATGAAATGAAAAAGTGACAAATTTCCTAAAAATTTCAAATGAGAGAAAGGTGTCACGTTTCTAAATTATCTTAAGTGGCCAGTTTAAACGATATTACCCGAGACATAAATCAAAGTTTAAGAAACCTTGAGAGTTGCCAATATTTAGATCACTATACCTTGTGAAAAAAAGTCAATTGTTTCTTTCATTTAGACTTAAAGTGAGAACTCTGAAAGAAAAGTAGAATGTCTAAAATGGCTGCAGATACGAAACAACAGCTGAAGAAACACACGGAGGAGTCTGCAATGTTGTTTTGAAGCCGGCGTCGAAAGAGAGGTGACCCTGAAAATTTAAACAACAATTAAAAAAAATGTTTTTCCAATTTATTTTAATGTAACACATGTTCGCTTCTTTGCAGAAGCGCCTGTTTTGGAACACAAGTTCACCTTTTCATCCCATACTTTCAAACAAGGTCTTTTAATAATAGATGAATATTAATATCTCACTGCGCCTAAAAGTGGAACGTTCGTGGTTTTCGACGACTACGAATGCGTATATTCATGTTTTAAAGACACTTTCTGTTGATCTGTAAACTGGGTAAGGCGGGTGTGAGTAACTGTCTTCCCATAAGTATAGATTTCCTAAGGAATTTCGAGAAAATAAGATCTCGCAGTACGTTTCTATTCAGGTGGGGCTTGTTAGGTTACTGAAACTGACTTGACTTTTTACAACACACACTGTAATTATGCCATTTCTAGTATAAATGAAATAATTACGCGC